ATATTACTATTGGTTCAAAACCCTTGTTGAAGAATCGTTAAATTCATATGTATTTAGTAATTAATGCAGTATATTTCTTACTATTTTTATCTAGAGAAATTTGTCAAAAACTACTTGTTAGATTAAAACTAGACATAAAGTTACTTCAAAGCATTGTTGAAAAATATCTTCCATGTGCAATGACGCCTTAAAATCTTTTGATAATAGCTTTTTATAGTGTAGTGTCCAGGCAGAATGTGATTGATCCGTCCTTTTTGACGCTGATGATAATTAGATTTTATAATTGTTTTTTGACCTACGAATTTTATCATCTTTTAACATTTCTTTGATTGCAATTCTCATGTTTTCATGATGACTCAAGGGTATTGAGTACTGTTTTGAAAAATAAGGTTTTTCATTTTGCAATACTAATTTATGTGTCTAATCTTTAATAGACCTAAGTTTTTGTGGAATATGTCTTTGAATTCATATACTAACGCCGTAAATTCATGATTCTGACTGTCGGACTAAGCTCGAGCATGCGCTAATTTTCTCATCAATCTCACTAAGTCAAATTCGGAGCGTCGTCTTTTGCGATACCTCTATTTGGTTTCGAATTAGATTTTCAAGCAAGGATGCCTCTTCGCTATAATTTGCGTCATACTTATGCAGAATTTCAAGACTGATATATTTCCTCGTCCAAAGAATTTTCACTAAATTTTAAAGAGCCTAATACATTATTAATTTCAAAAGTTATTATTTAATTATTAGTGTCAAGTTTGATTGTAATATTTGTCATAGTATCATAACCAATGATGCAATTCTTAATTAACAAAATTTGGAATAATGAGTAAGGTAATGTTAAAGCAATAGCTACCCGATTTGACGATTAAATGAATTTATTTTTTAACTTTAGAATTTTTTTATTCCATGGCTACTTCATATACGTATCCACTTATACGTAAAATCGGTTTTAATTTAAAAATGGATAGGTTTTGATTAAGAAATTCTTCAGAAATTGAAGAAATCTCGCTACCTAGGTCAAGCAACACAACTGCGGAAATACCTTCAACTGTTATGTTAATTTCAGGGCATTTTTTCGAATTTTTAATTTCTACGTGATTCTTGAGGTTGCCCTTGATTTCATTTCAAAGACCATCAAAAATAGTGTATATAAATTTTTCTTGTAAATTATTAATTGAATTAAAGTTTTTCACCATTACAACTCGTTGAAGATTATTTAAATTATCTGAGTTTCGAGAAACAACGCCTACTTGTTTCCCACGAATGTAGCAATTTCAAGCAAAGGCGCTTTTTCCTCGCTGGTTTCCATGGGGGGAGACTTTCAGTTACGGCTTTGACGTTTACTTTGCGTTTTTTAAGCAGATCTCTCAGTAGAAAAAATATTAGATCGGTGCTCATTGGTATTTTCTTTTAAAGAATTATGATTGCTAATATAATTATCATTATTGACAGAGAAGAAAATTCTGATATAAACTCTGAAATTTTACGAACACTTTTAGCTTGTACAAGTAAGCACATACCTTATCGAAATGCCGCGATAGCTTATCGATGAATTCTCTCTCATCTTTCGTTAATATTGTAAGCGAAATTTATTTCACGGATGGCATAATTGTATCTAGTTATTTTGTTGCTGCGAAAATATTTATCAAATTTAATCTCGCGCATATTTCGGCGAATTTCAGCATTCTAGAATTTTCCTTTAAGCAAATGTTCATAAATGTGGAAACTATTGATCTGTCGGTACATGAGATCGTACCAGGAAGAGTTTACACCAGTTATTAATTGAAATTGCAAGCGAAGCAACTAAGGCGTGTTACAATTACTGGTGTGTAATAGCTTTTAAAATTATTTAAATACTCAATGGGATGGTATTCGTAACTTTCTTCAAACTTTAAACAAGTTAATACCGGTTTTATGATTAAATGTTTCAATAATGATTTCATTAACAGTGTATTTATTGTTAACATCACCTTTAGATTTCTCTATTTCTTTGCGGAGTAAGGAAATATTAGCTTTCATTTCATCAATAATGTTATCTTTAGCACGGATAAAATCGTAAATTTTTTTGTTACGACATTTTTTTATAGTTCTTTAGTAGCGTTTGAGCAATTCAAATTGGATTTCAAAAAGACAATTGTCTCTTTTTGCTCAATTACTTTGTTTTTTAATTTTTCAATTTTATTGCAAAGTTTGCTTATAGTTTTAAAAATTGTAGAAAAATCATGGAATGATTTAGTTTACTTGGAATCTAATTGTTTCAATTCTCCTACCACGGGCTTTTCCTATTCTCTAGTTTTCATATTGTGATTCTTCAATTCGTTTTCGAGAACGTTGTTATTCATTTCATTAAGAATCGGTTTTGAAGTGACTTCAATCGATGTAAAAATCAAATAACGTTTATTTCCGGATATTTTGGAAATTATTTAAAACGTAACAATTATCAGAGAAATTTATAAGAAACTCAGTATTGGTATAGAGTAATTTAGATTACGCGAAACAACAGAAATCTACTTTCAATATAAATAGAAGATTATTATATTACTTTCATAATTGTATCATAAGAATTTTTTACACTTTTATAAGTAATAGCAAAAAAAATATTAATAATAAAGATCATTTAGTTAGAAAATAATAATAAGCATATAATAAAAAAGATTATTTGAAGCGCCTGAAATGGGAAAAGAATCTACCATAAACGTACACATATTATGCACAAAGAACAAATCTTCGCGCAAGGTACGAACATTTGTTACCTTGAAATACATTTTCATTGCAAAGCGCGACTCTAATTCATTAATTCTCGCTCTTAATTCTTGAATTTCCTTGCGCAACGCCGTATTTTTGGATTTAGCAAGCTTCGATTTATTGCTATTCATCATGATACCAAATTTCAATACGCACGTAAAATAACAAAAGTACTCTAAGTTAATTCGAAAACTAATTATAAAATTCAAAGAGCCCCTGTTCGAACACCATTTGCAACGATATTATAAAAATATATTATTAAAATTAAGTTCGATCTCTAAGATAAATTTGCCAATTAAATTCCCAATAAATAAGCAAGAATTTGATCAAGAAATATATAATTGAAAATAATAAACTTAGTGATTGTTGAATGGTTTACTGGTAGAGATTGATGTGTTCTTACACGAACGTTAACAATCATTACTGAAACCTTTGGAAATTCGCTACTTGAATGATGCCTGCGCGATATAAAGTGAGCAAATCTGAATAATAAATAGCAGTATCATTCATCAAGCAGCGAATAGAGTCTAAGTCGATACGGTTCGTCATATCGATGTGCCGTTTATAATTCTGCAAAGTATTGTCGCATCTATCTGAGTAAAGTCAGATAGCGCCGCAACAGAAACTTACCCGAATTCCTCGACTAAAATAATATATTTAGGAGAACAGATTGTCTAAAGCTGCTTTTTTCTCATGAGAAAGGGATATGAGTTGACCACTTAGACAATCATATAGGAAAGAAGAATAGCAAGGTTAACCACTGAATAATAAAATGGATTTTACGAAATGGCTAAGACTTTATTTCATCTGTTACAATGTCCGAGCTGTTGAGTGAAATTGGACCAGAATTTTGACGCAGCGACGAGCAAATTTATACTCATGATAGAGGCCTCTTTTTACGCTGGATTACCCCAACAACGCTGTTTTCGCAAATTTTCACAAACATTAAACAAGCTTTAACGTGAAATCACGAACGCTAAGTGAAAAGTTTGTAAGTTAATAAATGAATTTTGAAATGCTGAATTTAGCGACATAAATTGCTTGTTGGGGAAAAATCGTCTTCCGAAGTTATAAACAAATAAAATTAATTAAATGAATAGGACTAAATTTACAATAAAATCATATGAATATTTTACACCGAAAAATTTCTTATGATACACTAAACATTATTCAAGATCAAGTTTGTCAATTTAATGAATAGAATCTCAATAATAGTGAAATAATGAATTCGTAAATTATTTCTTTTGCAAATATAAAATCGACAATCGGATAACAATCATTTTTACTCGTTTTACAACTACGGTACGTATTATCTGACAACACAAATATAAATGTTTAAATATATTATTAATTTTTTGTTTGTTGATAAATTAGTTCAAAAGTCAGTTTCGAATTCGCATTGAATTTGTTTATTGCAAAATTATTCGTGATTTATAATTATAAATTCAATTTCGCTAAGTAATAATTATTTAATACGTATAAAAAATTTAGATTCGTGATCAGCAAATCGAAATTAATTGAAAAAGTGCTTTTGTTCATTGAAAAAGCTTAAAATTATAAGTTCCGTATACTAAACCATAAATTTCGCATAGATATAACATCATACTTATCCTTTACATATAATATCCTTTATTAGTTTTAGTTTTGACAGCACTTTTCCTCATTTCCTGGTATGTAGCATTACCTGGATTGCTGTAGCATAGTAAGAAACGAGAAAAAATAGATCAGGCCGGATCGTTACACTGTAGACATACCTCCCATTAGTTTTAAATTTTATAACACCTTACTGATTGACGAATTGCTAGAAAAACCATTGTACAAATCATGAAATATGTTCATTTGTTATCTAAAGTATCTTTTATTTGAAATATCTTCTTTTAACACGGCTTATTTAAAAAAAGTTATTCAAATTGAATTATTTTACTTATTGTAGAAAAAAGATGCTTTTTATCCTCAGAATCAATAATTTAGCAACTATAATTGATTTTGTCAATTAAGAACATTAATTTTGTACATATTCTTTCTGCAATATTAAAGTTAATCACGGCGGTTATTTATTCCTGTAATGCATGTAAATTGGATAATAAAAATTTACATTTATTGTATATAAACTGACGGAAACAGCGGCAGAATTTATATATTTATCAATATATTACCATAATTCGATTTCACGTCTATTTTCAGATAAAGAGTGTGTTTTAACTCTGGTATCTATTCTCATTCATTAAATAATTAAAGATATACTATAATGAAAATTTATTTATTTATTTTTATCTTTACTTTCTAGATATAAATATTTAGACTTTAGCACTGAACTTATTTAAACGATTCCCTCGCTTATTATATGTAATAAGGTTCATTATTATTATAGAAATGATAACGTTCAATACGTGTATTGCATATATTAGATTAAAAAATTTTAATCAGAAAACTTAACGTCGATAAATACTAAAAACATAATTATTGATAATTTCTACTATAATAAACTAAATTAATCAATTGAAATGTTTAATCTGGTTAATCCAATTGAAGACCAATGAGATGTGGAGAAATCGATTTGGCAGCTTTCATAATAAATTGACCAAAAATTTTATTTGGCGAAAGAATAAGGTCACCTAGAATCGTAAGCCTGCAAATGATTCGGTGCATCAGCAAACGTAAACTTCAGTTTATAAGCTTCGGCTACAAGAACGTTGATCTCAGAGTCTGACCAGTTTTGAGTTGGCAGATTTTGAAGCATTAACATCAGTCCCTGCAATAAAAAAGTAGTATCAATAAAATTTTAATAAAAGTTTTGATGTCGTTTTTAATAAAAATAAATAGATAAATACGTAATTTGTCCGAATAACTTAGTAAAGTTTTAAGCCAAAATAAAAATGGCACTTTTATAAGATCAGATTATACATTACTGTCGATATTACGAGTAATATTATTGGATCATTCCCATAATTTAGCTTGTTTAACGAGAAAATTTCGGTTTAATGACAATTTGTGTGTGTGTACATTTTTAAAACTAGTGTCGTATAAATATTTTATATATATTTTTAATTTTTCTGCATCAGTTTATGCTTACGCATATTTTAGTTACTGATATGTTTATGCATTTATACATAGGGTATACGTGGAGAAAAAATATACTACTTTACTTGAAAAAAATTTTTTATATTGTATATATGACGGTAAACGTCATATTAGCGCTATCAGCCCAACCATGCAGCTGCCGGCGACGGCAGTACCTGCCGGTTGGGGCTAAATGTATTGAGGGAATTCGGCACGAAACGTAACGGAACGCGCGCGTACGAATATGAACTAGTCGAAGATTAGAATTCGATCGCCGAGCAGTGCAGCGAGTACCTTGGATATTTTCCTGAGTTTTTCCGAAGGCAGAAACGAGAGAGAAAAGCGGTGACCTAGCTTACGTCCAGCGAGTGTGTGCAAGCGTGCGTGAGTGGAGAGTTTCGCCATCGAGGGCGAAACCGAGAACGAGAGACAGCATCAGTCGCATATAAACATTTGCCGAAAGACTAGTGTGCGCTGCAAGAGCCTCCTTCTTCGTATTACTTGTTTCCCGTGCGAGAATTAATAAGGTAAGCTGGCCAGCTTAATTTCGCGATCGCGACAGAATTACTAAATAACTAATCTCTCGTACTCGCTATAAAACGTGCATGTATTATCTCGGCAAACAAAGAGCGGCAAGCGATCCGACTCCGCATGGTATTGTCGCACGAGCGTAGTGTAAACATAAACATGCGGGCCGAATACAGTGTACAGTTTAGAGAAAATAAATGATCTCGCATATGATATTGATTAGAATTTCATCGTATTTATTTTAATAGTAGATAGTTGGTTGACTGATACCCGTTCCCTCCTGCTCTCCGGTTTTCGTGTTTGAACGTATAGGTAATCACGCGCGCTCTTCGATATGATCGCGCGCATTAAAATAAATCAACGGTATCAACCCCGTTACAATATATTTTCTAAAAATTTTCAATATCATTTTTGTTTTTTCGTTTGTCAAAATTGCGCCTTTATTTGCTATATTTTCTTCACCGTAGTCATTCTATTCATAAAATTGATTTCATTTTCTCTAAACAATGACTAATTAATGTAGATAGAAGAAAAATTATATTTATATGAGTCAATAATTTTTAAATATCTTTTATTTAAGAAGTATTTTTTGCAGATAACTGTAAAATTACTTTTTTGTATATTTCTTTCGCTGGAGTCGTTCTATCAACGGTATTGATCGTTACTAATTACACAAGCGGACATATTTTTGCAAAAGAAACAACACTTTACGTATAAAAAATTCTTATGTTTTCACTCCTGATATTTGATGATTTTATTTTATTAAATTTCTGATCTTAGGAGTTATCCCTGTAAATAATTACACACCTTGTTTTTCTTGTAAACGTTTCGCAATTCAATTTATTGCCACCTCAGTATACATCTGTTAAATATATAAAATGAATAATTTCAAATCAAATATAGTAATAAATTAAATATAAACCTACGTTTTTTAATATGCTTTGTATTGCAATGTTGATTAAAATAAAAATTATTTCCTCACATATATAACGTCAATATAAAATTATAACATCAATTAAATAAAACAATAATTTTTTGTCAGTACGGTATAAACACATCATGTCCAAGCAAATTAAAATAAAACTGATAGAATACGTTTGTATATGCTCCTAGTAAGTCACTCACGCTGTATAAGAATAGAAAGAGAAAGATTGAATGGTCTAATAAGAGAGATATGAAGAGTGGGGAATACAAAAGAGGAAAAGAAAGATCAGATCATGTTAATCTCATAATACTACATTTACAAGAAAAACAAGGTGTGTAATTATTTACAGGGATAACTCCTAAGATCAGAAATTTAATAAAATAAAATCAACACTTTACGTACCCGAAACATTTTGCGCTGAATCTAAATCCGGCATCAGAATTAACCCAATGCGTTAGGTTTTCGAAATATTCTAACGCATAAGTGCGAAAAAGACAATTTTTCACTATATATCTACTACCACCAATAAGTTTTTTCTAAATGGTGTGAGGATAAAGGTCCGGTTTGCGCTACCGTCTCGATCGCGTGGCTACCTGCGAAGGCAGCACCTACCGGCCGGGGAAGTAAAAAGGGAACTCGGTCCGAAATGGGGCGGAACGCGCGCGAAGAGAGAAGGACCAGTCAAGGAGTACCTCTAGAATGAGTAGCAGCGTGAATCTAGGAGTACCTCAAGCATCGTTAGCAGCATGAGTGCGTGTGAGAGCTGTATCCAGCCATATCAAGGATTAATAGATTACCGATAATTTGTTGTTGCTGCGGTCTCGCGAGGTTAGCTGTAACGCTATCATAGGCCAGCCAGTCGCTGAATCTACCCGATAGAAGTAGCATGGCGATTAAAGAGGCTTCGTTTTCGTTGTGGAAAAACGGCAACTTGAGCCACGTGTCAAAAATCGACGACGAATTGCTTTCCCTGATAGCGCGACTAATCATATAAGGTAAGCTGGCCAGCTTCGCGTTATGATTTTTGTTAAACGACCGTGCGTAATAGCTTAATTCTCCCCTCACGTCTGCGAACATTAAGAAACCGTTAGCGAGCGAGCGTGCGAGTGAATTGAATGCGCGGTGTCAAGCAAATGGCGGCATGCAACGCTATTGTACGTTTAGAATAAATGCTCTCGCGCAGGCCAAATCTTTGTAAGAATAGTTCGAATAAACGATCCTGTATTACCGAAATGATAATCTAGTTTTGTCCCTTGTTATTACTTAGTTGGTTGACTGGTACCCGTCCTTTCCTGCTCCTCGATTAGTTTAGAATTGCTTATCTTGTTCTCATCGCGCGCACTCCAGTACGACTGCGCATTAGGTGAGACAAAGGAATTAACACGGAATTCATACCCCGTTACAATAGATATCATCGTACTTTGTACTAAACTTTGTACATATTTTTTTTTCATTGAGATATCGAAGATTGAAATTTCAGTATTTTTGAAATTTTACTAGTACCTTGAAAACTCGGCATATAAAGATATAAATCGATATAGTATATTTATGTTCTATGAAACGTAGTATTCATATTGAATGTTAAAACTAGTTCAAAAACTAAAAATTCTTAACCTTAAAATCCAAAAAAGCACTATTCTTGGTCCTGAGAAAAAGATATGAAGAGGAAAATATCTTTACATATGAAAGTATATCGTATTTCCTCAAATCTCGGACTACATATTCTTTGAGCGTATAATGTTAGACTCCTAAATTCCAATTTTCTTGACTCCTGAAATCTGCGAGTCTATAACCCCAACTAACGAAGTACAAGTCAAGTACAGAAAATACTTAAATTTAAATCTTCGATGTCTCAGTGAAAAGAAATGATGTACAAATTTGAAGGTAGGGTTTTGTAGAGTCAGAGTTCTGTTTTCAAACTGAGCTATCCGTTTAAAAAAATTATTGGTAGTAGACAACCATGAATATAGCTAAAAGTTGTGTTTTTCACCATTATAAGTTATGATATCTTGAAAATTTGACGTGTTAGGTTCATTCTGATGCCGGATTTCGATTCAGCATATCAAAATCTTTCGAGTACGTAAAGTCTCTTTTCTGATTCAGGCTTTTTTTTTATTTTTGTCGGCCTATGTTATTTACTATTTTTAATAGATATAGGTAGAAGAAAAAATAAATATTTTCTTAGATAGTTCGATAGAAAATTTGTTTTCTTCTTCATTGTAAAATTATTTTTCACAAGAAACTACAAACATTACATTAATTTTATTGTTATCCTCTTCCTTATTGTTGTTTGAACAATGAGGGTTATTCTTCTTCTAGATATAGAAAATTAACGTAGGTAAGAGTAATGAGTATTAGAGGAGTGATCTATGAAAGCGTAATTTAAAAATAATACATTGCAATTTAAAGCCGCGAAGGTATTAGTAAGTCTATAGTATGTGTAAATTGATACCCGAAAAGAAGTTGATGGTTTCAAATGCGTACTATGGGTTGGATTCATGTTTGCTAATTATGTCCCATGGGTTGGGTTGAATTTTATATCTTTTTTCGGCGAAGCTAATATTAGTATATTACTAACCGAGGAGGATGTTATCAACAAAAAAATAATTTTTTTTATACAACTGCCCAAAAGTAGCATTTTCCGGTCACTTCTCGATCGACTCATTTCGGCTTCGCTGAGCAAAAAAATAGTACGCACCACGACCGGAAAATTGAAAAGCCCGTAGTACATGTTTGCCAACCTTAGTTTCGCTTTGGTTGATAATTCTCATGTGCTATGTATTTACTAATATCTTCCCGGTTTAGGTACGCAATTTACTATATTTGGACTAAATACAATCATGGTCATAAAAAAAACATTAAAAACATAAAATTGTGTGTGTATCAAATCTGGTGTTAAAACTAAGGGTTCGTATTTCAAAATATCACTTTAACCTTTAAATGACCTTGAAAATCATTCTCAAGATCAAAACTGATTTGACAGACAAATGGCCCCCATTGTCTCGAACAACATTTTCCTGAACAATTTTTTGTTATAACGTCAACTTTCCGCGATTTTCCGGTGAGAACACCCTATATTACGTTTCGGGACGTAACGCTTCATTTTATAGTATGCATGCAACATTTTGTATTCAAACTCAAAAAACAATTTGAAAAGCTTATAACGTGAGTTTGAAAAACTGAAAACAACTCTAAAAAGTTTCAAAATATTCTTTCAACCAATTGAGGAGCATATTTGT